TAGCACTGTAGCACTGCTACAGTGCTCGGTACACCTGAGTGTACCGCTCGGTACACCTGGGTGTACCGAGCGGTATACCGTACCGTACCGGTACCGAGCCCGGGTCGAAACGCCGGTACGGTACGGTACGGCGAACCTTGGTTATCAGTATTGTCTGAGAGTAAGAACTTGTAAAGTCACAATTCATAGTTGGCAAGAAATGAAGGGCATGACAGTTGGACCAAGCTGCTCTCATCTTTGTCAAGAAACCAATTTTAATGACTTCACAGCTACAATGTTTTCTGACATATCCTTACCTTTGCGTTAGAACTTAGAACATTTGAAAATTTTGGGGTCAACTAATATATGTCATCTTCTTTCTGTATTCTTGTTTTTTTACATTTAATTCTAGTTTTGGATTGTAATGTGGTTGCACCTTTTGAATTCCGTGATTCAGTTCCTCTTTACTCTTTTTTTCCCTACACATTCTTGTATTTGTAATTGTTGATCTATCTTGTCTGGAAAACAACTTTATCTTGGAATAACTTACATTAATTGAGCACTATTGTATCTTCCCCTTGAGGAAAAGTTTGCAATCAAGTCTTTATCTCTTTCCTCTGTTGTTAATGCTGACATCATAAAACTTGTGAAATCCTGCTATTATCTTGGATGGTTTGTGCCTCTCAGCTATCCTCTCTCAAGTTCTAGTTTGGACATGTATGTCTTACCATATAAAAATTCATCTTCGCCAAGCTTTTTCTTTCGAGTAAGTGTTTGTTGCAAGTTGTCAGATGGACTTTTTTTGGTTCATTGGTATAGAATGGCATTGGCTGCACGGTGACAAGGTCATACTATTGGACATGAAAAATAAAAAAAAAAAAGGTAAAGAAAGAGGAAGGGCAAAAAGGAAGATGAATAGAAAGAAATATTTCCACGTGTTATTTTAATTTAGTAGCTAGATAGGAAGAAAAACAAAGAAATAAGGGGGAAAAAAAGGAAAAGTAGGACATTAGGACATGCCTGTATATCTTGTTACAAGTCCTTGTCTATGTTGGTATTGGAAGCACAAAGAATGGAAATGGGAGTTCTGGCTCTCAATAGTGGTGGGATGCTTTCAAGTCTAAATCCTCTCAAGAGGAAGGATGGAGGTGCAAACCCCTCTTGCCAAAGACTCAAATATGATAATGGAACTAAAGGTTGGTTCAACCCAGGGTTTGATGTTTCAATGGATCCGTATGTACAGGTCTGATGAATTCTAAGTACGCAGGACGCCCTATACCAAGTAGTCCAGCAGATAACCAGGGCTTAAACTGGGCCTAAACATTGCAGTAAACGCACCTCAAGATGACCCAATTTAAAGAGACCCGTTGGGTCTCTTCTGAACTGCAAAAGATGGCTGTTCAGCCAAATTAGCACGGCTCTTCCCTCCCCCTCTTTTTAAAGGGTTTTGGATGGCTGAAATCCTAAAAGTATTGGCGTTGTGCTGATGTACCATTGTTGGTACACCCTGCACGTACTAGACCTGTGCTGGTTTGGCCAGGAACCTGCATGGTATTTGAAACCGCAAACCATGGTTCAACCATTAGTAATTTCAATGTTCATGGCTTCTAATGTAAATTTATCTCTAGACGCAAAATGAACTCATCTAAGGCATTGTGTGGCAGTCAAAATCTCTCAGGTTTTGGTAAAAAATTAGGCATTCAAAGGCTATGGATTGGTATATATGAGTCTGACTCAATCTTTTTGTCAGTTTCAATCGTAAACCTACTAAGTGTTAGAGGAAATAAGGGGTTTGAGCCCAAACCAAAGGGGCTGTGATTTGTGACAATGTGGTTATTGATCAGTGCACAAGGTTACAAAATGATTATCCATTGATTGTATGTCCTTTACTATAACTAAACTGAATTAGGGCAAAATATGTATTTTATCGATGCATAGATCTTAGTCATACCATATGGTTGCAATATCAACCATGCATACTTATATGGTCTAAATTGATCTTTAACCATTCACAACTTGTCCAATCATGGAATTAAGCAGTTTCAAAGTTGAAAACCTTAAACTATTTCATCATATTTAGTTCTCAGTACTTACGGATATCTAGTGTTTTGGCTTATGAGTTTATGTTTGGCCTGCAGTGCGCTCTTCATTCTCAAGAAGAAGTTAGAGCTAAAGCTATTCGACTGGTAAGCATACTTTGAATTCATTACTTGACACTGACAATATTCCTATGTTATTATCCTTGTTTTGTTATTTTCTTCAATTCTAATCTTGCTTTACTGTGACATACTAGGTTGCGAACAAACTTTATCCTCTCAACTTTGCTTCAGATATAATTGAGCAGTTTGCAGTGCGCATGCTATTGTCGGTTGTTGACCAGCAAAGTTCAGAAGCGGATACCAGTCTTGTATACTCCAATGAACAACAAACAGAAGTAATTTGATACAGCCTATATGATATATATATCTCATTAAATTATACTTTTCATATTTCGAATTTCTCTAGTAGATTAATTTAGTATGTCATAAGCATTGTTTCTTTGCACTTCAGTATCACACTTCTTTGATGCGGAAGATTAACATTCTTTTTTATTGTTATTTTCTCTTTGGTCATGATATTTTATTAATCACATTCTTCCCTGATCTATTTCTCTGTGTCAAAGGCACTGGTTTGTGTTTCCATGTGGATGCTTATCCATAAATTAGAAATGTTCATAGTGCACTATTAACTGTATTGACTATACTGTGCAGTATACTGGTGTTTGCTAGTGTACCTGTATGGTGTCTTATACTCTCTTTGGGGAATAATGACATACCCTTAGCATTGTGATTAACTTATACCAGCAAGCTCATCAGTATTGATCAGCCTAAAGAATGATATAATACTGGTACATATAAATAATGATCATTATTGTAAGAGTTCAGTTGGCAGTCATTTTACTCAGTCTAATACATTGAGATCCAGCATGTACTACATATGTAGCACAGCATATATTATACTGCATGAAACCAGGGCAGTATAAATTTTAGAATGTCAGTTGTTGTGCTGGCTTATAAATTTTGGAATGCATAAAACCAGTGCATGGCAGGTCATAGTTTCATACATATTTAATAGGGACACACCAGCTTCAGCCAGCCAAGCAAACCCTAATCTTTTCCTGCATGGTGCGCCTCCCAGATGGGATAGGTATAACTTGATGATCAAAGTATCTTTTTCTTTTCTTACTGGTATTGGCGGAAGCTTGATGTTGGTAAAGTATGGCAAATTGTTTTATTATCATGGTGTCGTAGTTAAGCCATTATATGCCAAAATAGATGCCTGAAAGCTAGGAAAAATTGCTAGGTATCATTATTCTGATAAGGTTGGAATGGCATGGATAGACTGCTAGTATATATTTGTAAACATTAGGTAAATGGCGTGCCACCTAGATGGTCAGATGTCATGTTAGATGAACTACGTAACACCACAGTGTCTTTTTGGCTAATGAAGTTCACAATTAGAAATAGTCGACTGCAGTACGTAAACACAATTTCATGTAATTTATTTTTTTCTGAACAGGAAAGTAACCTGTTCTCCTGTGTGGTTAGAGCAAGTCACCAAGCCAAAAATTAAGTTTCTATTTGTGTCAGTTCACAGCCCTGACTCGTGCAGGAGGTGCAGACCGATGGTAGCTAGGTTTTGGCTTGTACTGGTCAGAATGCTCGTGTTCCTACCAATATAACGCAAAATTGTCCCATGCCAGAAAGATATTACCATGCCCTCAGGCCCAAAATGACCATCTGCATTATATACACAGGCTTTTTTGTGTGAATAATGACATTTTCTATGAACCAATTGGCAATGCTTGAATGTTTTTTTATTCACTGAATTTGTGTTGTAATAAATTTCTAATCAACTACATGATGGGTATGCAGATGTCTGCTTGTTATATATGATGCACTAAAGTGTGATTTCTGTTTGTTTTCATGCCATAACTTGCTTTTTCAAGATTTTGACATTGTAAAATTCATAGCTCTTCTTTCAAGCATGTCGTATTTTATAAGTATGTCTAAAACGTGTTTGTACTTTGTTATTAATCAATAATAGAGATCCATTTCTGACATTTCTTCTAAATATCTTGATTTGCATCTCTATGTTTTTTCCTTTTGAATGACTAATCCTATCAGGGTTTCATATTTTCTGTCATTGTTCTAGTTAAGTTAGTTATCTTGGTTGCTTCGCTGCTTCTTCTCTGTATCACAATTGTTACTAAATTATATAACCACCTTCGTGCAGGACATTTGTTATGACCTGTTTTCGGTTGTTTATATTGCATAATATCACATAATTATATTATCTCTAATCAACTGTTGTTTCTTATGGTCTATTACTTGCGTGTATTGGCTTCTTATAAGGTTCTACATCTTATATTGTTTATATGAGTCACCTTTTATTGTCAACAGAGTACCTTTTGTATCTGTTTGGTATAATATTTTTCAATTTCCAACTTATATATCAGATGGCTAGTCAGGATGCATTTGTTAGTGGCTCCCAGATTTTAGAGCCTGCTGCTTCTGAGAGTGATGCTGATAAGGATAACCAAGCTTCTGTTTTGAAAGTTCCAACAATATCTCTTTCTGAAGCACAACGACAGACATCATTGTTCTTTGCTCTTTGCTCGAAGGTTTATATCATGGATTCTTATCTTTCTGTGCTCATCAACGTAGAGATTAACAGTGAGAGTTGACTTTGGTCTTCTTCTTTTTTGGCAGAAACCAAGTCTTCTCCAATTAGTATTTAATATATATGGGAGAGCTCCAAAGGCTGTCAAGCAGGTCTTGTGCCAATCTTCACCTAAGTTTGTTGTATTTACAGTGATGTAAGTTTAGACTAGTAACAACTGTAATATTGTGTGCAGTCTGTCCATCAACACATCTCTAACCTTGTGAAGAATCTTAATTCGCCTTATTCTGAGCTATTGGACTTGATCTCTGATCCACCTGAAGGAAGTAAAGGTCTTGTAGTTCTGGTATGTGTATGTTTCCAACGCATTTTTGTGTCTATGTTCATTTGCTAACAAATTTGCTGTAACTTCTCATGGCTATGGTTTGGTACTGTTAAACTAAGGTCTTGGAGACTCTGACTGAAGAATCAACACCTTCATCTGACTTAATTGTTGTGGTCAAACATCTATATGAGACTAAGCTAAAGGTTGTCACTTCTCTGAGTACTACTCTTGCATTTAGCTTATTTCATTCATATCATTTTCAAATTTTTGTATTAGAATAGTGACTGTAACTCTGGTTATTCTTTTAGTTGCTATATATTATTCCTCTGATGGTATTCTTTTTTCTGCTTCAGGATGCTGCTATTCTCATTCCAATGCTCTCTTCTTTTTCAAAGGACGAGGTTTTGTTACATCACTTATGAATAAAAGAATTTCATCATTGAAAAAAGCATATCACTTCCATGTTCTTGACATTTTGATACAGAGTTTACTGACTGTTAGTTATGAAAGGTCACTTATGCTGGTTATTTCTGGAATTTGGGTTTTGGATTATTAAAGAACTCAATGATTCTATATTTAATTGCCATCATTTCAATAATTATATATGACAGTTCTAATTAATTTATGCTAGTTTTTCTCTGGTGGTTGACTTGAACTTATTCATGCGTAAAGGTTATAATTTTTTTTAGGATGAGATGGAAGTGCATTTTGATTTTTTATCTTTTATCTGGTGTTATCTTTTTATTGTTGGGATTTCTTTGACTATTGGTATCGATCAGTATCATTTGAGAACCTCATTTCATGATCAATTTTCACTTGTGTTGTTATTAATTGGTTGAACATTCGCATATTTTGTGTTATTAGGTTATGCCTATTTTTCCACGTCTGGTTAATCTTCCATTAGAGAAGTTTCAAGCAGCATTAGCTCGCATTTTGCAGGTACAGAACATTACTTTATATTGTAATTAGAGATTGCCTTT